GTGCGTGTGCTTGCCAGACAGACAGAGAGAGACAGAGAGAAAGAAGGCGAGAAATCCCCCCCCAGGGGGGATGACCACGCCGCAATCCCTTCTCCTCCATTCTCCTCTTGGGTTCTTGGGCACGCACGCACATGCGCTCGGCGTGAGTTTTAAGCCACTGGGTCCAGGACGTGAACTGTGGTCGACTACATGGGAGTCCAGCGACATAGCCATTACGCTAACTGCTGGCCCCTGCCCTCTTGTTTCTCAGGGCCCACTCCAAGGCCCTTTGATCATTTCATCTCGGATTTTGTGTTGAGCTAAAGCATCCCCTCAGCATTGCGCTCGACTAGAACCACTCTTGGGCTCCTTGAGTTCCATGTCTGCCCTGGGATCTCTCACACTTCCAGTGAAAGAATCCCAGCACGGGGAGCCCCCGCAGCACGCAGCCCTAGGGTGGCAAAGATTCCGGGCCTCCCTCCAGGGCTTACCTGACCTGCCCATCCAGCCTACTCTTACCTCCCTTCTCTTTTCGGCTGAGTGTGTAATCTTCCTCCTCTCCTCCTCTGCCTCTTCTCCATTCTGCTTTTCCCTTCTCTTCTTTCCAAGCTGACCCATCACCAACCCCTCTTCTTATGAGACCCTGTGTCCTTAGACCTGTGTATGAGTATTTGGTTGGGTCGGTCGTGGGCAGTTTTCAATCTCAGTTCGTGACACGTGGTAAGGTCACTGTGGTCACAAGCAAGTTGTCATCTCTGCTAATGATTGACTTGTTCCTTGTAAGAAATTAGAATGGATTCAGGGTTAGTCCTTGTTAGAGCTGTGTCACTTTCCCCAGTCATGTGTGATGTGTTTGCTTGTGTGGGAGAAAAGGGCTGGAGTGGCATTCAGCACTGCCGCGCTCTCTCTATCTTATCTCTGCACCAGCTGGTGGCTGGGCCAGGCCCGGCTGTCCTTGGAGGGTGGCTCCTGTGTAAATGTCATTGGTTGTGAGGGCTGGGGCAGGACGAGGTCGAGCACATGGCTGATCAAAGCAGGGGTGGTGAGGCCAAAGCAGGGATTTCCTTCTGGTTTTTGGTTCCCCCCAATCACAAGGCCAGGGCTAGAACTTAGGGTCCAGGGGATGCGTTTGTTTCCTAGGGCTGCCATTACCGACTACCACAAACTGGTGGCTTAAAGCAACAGGCATTTATAGTCTAGGTGCTGAAGGCTGGAAGTCCACAATCGAGGTGTCAGGGCTGTGCTCCCTCGAAGGCACCAGGGAAGAATTCCTCCTTGCCTCGTCTAGATTCCGGCAGTGGTTGGTAACCCTCTAAGTCTCTCGGTGTGCGTCTGCATCTCTCTGGTCTCTGCCTTAGCTGTCTCATGGTGCTCTCCTTGTGCATCTGTGTTTTCATGTGGTTCTTTCCCTTCCTATAAGGACTCTAGTCATGTTGAATTAAGGGCCTACCTGATGGCCTCATCTTAACTACGAAGACCCTATTCCAAATAAGGTCATATTCACAGGTATGAGAGTTAGGACCTCAACAAATCTTCTGGCCGGGGGTGGGAGGCACAATTCAATCCATAATGGTGGTTAGTTACTAAACATGTGCCTTTGGCTCCTATGGAGGAGGGCTGGAGTCAAGCCTGGGGATGTGCACTTGTCCCCCAAAGGGACCCTTGAAGCCATCTCTCCCCTAAGGCAGGGTAGATTCTGATTCATGACCCAGAGCCTGTGTGTACTCTGAGTTCTGAGCTCTTTGAGGACGGCAATCATGCCTTCTGCCCACCCTCTCGTCCCCTGGAGCCTTGGCCAGAGCACTGGTGCAGCCTGAGGCTGGCAGCCGCTGTGCTCCTTCCTGCTCCAGCACCGTCCCAGCTCCCAGGTGTCCCTGGAAAGTCCCTTAGGCCAGCAGCGTCCCTGTGCTCCCACTGCATAGTCCTCACCACTGCCTGGGAGACTGGTCCCAGGAGTTTATCCAGCATCCAGGGGCCATAGATGGCACAGGGGAGAGGACTCAGTCCAGGGATCACCAACCCCTGAGAGGGTTGGGTTTGGGAGCCCTTTGCCTGGCAGGGCCCTTGGATGATAATCATATCTGCTCTGTTCTTATGATGTGGACATCTTGCGGAGAACCAGACATCGTAACTGTGAATCTGAGTGCCCTTGACCCAGTGACGTTACACCGGAGAGCCAGGCTGCTGTCGGGCAAGGTGTTGTCAAGGTGCCTAAAAGCCATCTCCTGGGGTCTAGGCCAGAGCTCCTCAGCCAAACCCAGGGCAGCCTCTGGACTATGGGTGGGGGCTTGCCCTCCTTCTGCTCCCTGTATTTTATCTGCCCCCCCAGGCTCTCAGCCCGAGACTGGTCCCAGGAGTTTATCCAGCATCCAGGGGCCATAGATGGCACAGGGGAGAGGACTCAGTCCAGGGATCACCAACCCCTGAGAGGGTTGGGTTTGGGAGCCCTTTGCCTGGCAGGGCCCTTGGATGATAATCATATCTGCTCTGTTCTTATGATGTGGACATCTTGCGGAGAACCAGACATCGTAACTGTGAATCTGAGTGCCCTTGACCCAGTGACGTTACACCGGAGAGCCAGGCTGCTGTCGGGCAAGGTGTTGTCAAGGTGCCTAAAAGCCATCTCCTGGGGTCTAGGCCAGAGCTCCTCAGCCAAACCCAGGGCAGCCTCTGGACTATGGGTGGGGGCTTGCCCTCCTTCTGCTCCCTGTATTTTATCTGCCCCCCCAGGCTCTCAGCCCTGCAGAGGAGCTGCGCTCAGCTTCACCACAGGGGGTCCATGGGTGGTGCGCCCTATCCGGGGCCATCCTTTTTCCCTCCTGTGCTCCCCTCATGGCTCTCAAGGCCAGGCCCATTGAAGAGTAGCAGCAGCCTTTTGGGAGTAGGATGAGCTGTGCTGGGTCCAGCTCCGTTGGGTCCACAGGCAGGTGAGGGACAGAACTGCCAGGCTGGACCCCACAGCAGTAATGTTCATGACCATACATTCAAGGGGCAGGCTGGAAGCTGTAAGGAGTGGCTCACTCCTTCCTGTGTATGTGTGCGTGTGCGTGTGTGCACATGTGCATGCACTGTCTTGGCCTTGCTGATCTTCGTGCCAATTATAGTCTGAATCAGGAGGGAGGAGACCCCTCTTCAACCAGTGTAAGTCACCTCACCATGGTCCAGGAAGAAAGGAGGAGGAAGGCAGCTGGAGGAGCAGAAGGGATATTGCCAGCTGAGGTTAATGGGGTCACGTGGATGCTCTGCCACACCAGATGTTCACCGGCCTCCTTATCTGGCTGCGTAGAGGACAGTGACGGGTGGGCTGGCTGCAGTGCAGGCAAGGGCTGTCATGCCAGGGAGGACATGGCCCTCTCATGGGTTGGTGATCCCTGGACTGAGCCCTCTCCCCTGTGCCATCTATGGCCCCTGGATGCTGGATAAACTCCTGGGACCAGTCTCCCAGGCAGTGGTGAGGACTATGCAGTGGGAGGACTATGCAGAGCCCGGGTGCCATGATGTCTGGGCCTTAATGCCAGTGGTGAGGACTATGCAGTGGTGAGGACTACGCAGAGCCCGGGTGCCATGATGTCTGGGCCTTAATGCCAGGGCTTCCTTCTGGACTGTAGAAGGCTGGGCTCTGTAGGGCTCTGTGGGCTTCTCTCATGGAGAAGACTTGGGTTGGAACTGCCACCCCTCCTGGCAGGACCTAGGTGGGAAGAGGAACAGAAGCATTCTCTCATAGTGGCAGTGGGGTCCTCTGGTCATTTAAGCAGGACCCAGAGTCAGGCTGCCTCTCTTGGCTATTTTGGGGTGAGACCTTTAGAGAAGGATACCCTTGTATCCTTCGATGGCCCAGCCTGGTTGTAAGCTCTTAATATTGTTACCCTTGTCTTCTCCTCCTTTCCCAGGACACAGCCAGGGCACATCCAGAGTCCCTTGCCCAGGGATTCCCAAGGTTCTGCCCAGCTGGTCCTGTTATGTAACTGTTGCTCCAAGGACTTAACGAACCCCAAACAGCCTGCCTGGTGATGGGACTGCAAATGGGCACTCCCTGGGCACCAGCGAGGGCCAGATGGAGAGTGGAGAGAGTGTGAGAGCAGCGACCTTGTCGCAGTCACGTTGCCGTGGTGATACCAGTCCATCTAGCTGCCTCTCCAGGGTCCTAGCCCACATAGACTGGAATAAGTTTTACTTGCAGCTTACACAGCAGGCAGCCCTGTCCTCACTAGGCACACCAGGGCCTTCCGTGTGTGTGGGCAGAGGGGCCCAGGAGAGAACGGAGCCCAACTGTTTACCCTCTTCCCTTCTCTTCCCACCCCAGCCCCAGGCCTATATCTCCTTAGACTGCGGGTTCTCAGACTTTAATGTGCATCAGAAGCACCTGGAGAGCTTGTTCGAACACAGATTCTCAGGCTCCAGCCCTGGAGATGCTCATGTGCACTTGAGAATTTGCAGCTTGCTTGCTTGCTTGCTTGCTTGCTTTCTTTCTTTCTTTCTTTCTTTCTTTCTTTTTTTACTTTTTAAAATAAGAATTACTTAATTTAATTTATTATTATTATTTTAACATTTGACCAGAAAGAGACAGACCGAGAAAGGGAAAGTGAGAACGCAAGCTGCCAGGTCCCAGACTCAAACCACAGTGAGCCCTGTGGGTGGGAGTCCAACACCTCAACCACCACACCACCTACCAGCCCTGAGAATTTGCGTTTCTAATAGGTCTCAGGTGATGCGGGTGGCCCAGGGACACCCTGGAAGTAGCACTGCTTTAGATTTTAGTGTTATCTTGGTAAAGAAAATGCCCTCAACTCCAGTTTTGTGTATTGTTTGAGGGGACTTCAAAACATTTGTGGGACAATGGAATGAGTGTATGAGTTTATTTTGGTGTAAAAAAAGTAGACATCCATGCATAACTTTTTCATAATATGCATTTTCTATGAAGACCCCTTGTTTGTTAAACTGTGTCCCCAAACCCAGCCACACCTGTAGGGGGGAAGAGTGGCCCTCACTGACCTCGTCTATGTTCTTTGGCCTCTTTGCAGGAAGCAGGAGCTGGCCAACAGCTCGGACGTGACCCTCCCTGACCGGCCGCTGTCTCCACCTCTCACTGCACCTCCCACCATGAAGGTAAGAGACTTGGCTCCTCTCAAGAAGGGGAAGCTTGAGGGGCAGCCTTGGGGTCTTGCTGTCTCCTTGGCTCTGTGTCCTACTGCTCCAGTCCCCAACACCTCTGGAGGCAGCGTCCATCCGGTTAAGCTCACCAGAGCAGGAGCAAAGCGTCACTGAGAGACTGAAGGGTGTCTGTGTCCAGGGGCAATGGGAAATAGACTAGGGCCGAATGGGGTTGGTGAGATACTTGGTTGTTAGTGGGAGGACTTGGGGGGCGATGGGGCTCAGGAACAGGAGGAAGTGGGGGGGACAGAATGCAGCTGGTGCCTTAAGGGGCTGCTGCCAGAATGACTTTCTGGGGCTGGGCTTGGGCCTTCCTGGGACTTGATGGTACTTGTATGCTGGACCACCTGCCTCTGAGTGGCCCTCCTGCCACCCCAGTGCCTGTGGAAGTGGCCTTGAAGGACTGGAGAGGGAAGGGGTAGTAGTTCTTTCTCTGTCAGTTTACTCACAAGTCTCTTCCTGGGGAAACCATGCCCCAGGATCCGACGGCCAGGACCCTCCCTTTCCTGGAAAGGAGCCGAGGGGCCACTACTCTCCTGCTTTCTGGCAGGCTGGCCACACAGGCCTGAACTGTCCAGCCTGGGCTGCCATGTGCCCCCCTGGTTTACACTTCGCTAGGTGAATACTAGCTCTGAAGAAGTCACCTGCCTCCTGAGTCATCTGAGGGACTATCTGGCCAGCCCCTAGTTCTGTCCAGGGGTTCTGCTCTGAGGTGACTCACAAGGAAATATTGGGTTGTCAAAAAAGTCATGACATATTTTTCTGTGTTTTTCTGATGACCCAATAATGAGGCCCATTTCCCCTGCTGCTCTGTGTTGCACCCCGTTCTCTGACCTAATCCATCGCAAGGTGACGTTCCCAAAGGAAGCAGATGATAACCGTTCGTGTTCCCGTTAATGCCTCAGATCAGATGCCCACAACATGCAGAGCGGTGTGGTATCACAAAGGAGGACGATGTGGCATGGCTGCACTGGTTGGGTTAAGAGTCCATCGGTGTCAGGAGGCAGGACAGGGTGCGAGGCTGACCCTGACAGCTCTACTCTCCTCTAGTGGGGTACCCAGGAGGCCACTGAAAGCCAGACCACCTTCCCCAGCCTCGTCCCAGTACTGCCGCATGAGCTCATGTGCACAGGGTAATGCTAGGAGGGTGTCGCTGTTCTGAGTTTCAGCCCTTTGGTCTGCAAAGCTGGCTGTGGGATGCTCGTTTCTGTCCTGGATGGTGGGAGTCTGCAGGCAGAACTCTGAATGTCTCCTGGGAGGAGTGGCTGGGTTCTCTTGGCAGGCTTTACTCGCTTAATTCCCCCAACACTCAGTATTCATTTGAATGTAGTATTAGTCAGGAATCTTGGTTACAAGTGAAAGAAACATAACTCACTCTGCCTTAGGCATAAAAGGGATTTTTTTTTTTTTTTTGCTTTACAGTGGCAAGTTTAGATGCTGCATCTGTTAAATATATTTTATTCCCTTTCTGTTCTGTGTTGGTTTTTCTCTTTTTTTAAAAGAATTATTTTTATTTAACTTTATTTATTTATTTTTAAATTTGACCAGAGAGGGACAGAGAGAGAACGAGAGAGAGAGAGAGAGAGAAAGTGAGAAGGCAAGCCACCAGGTCTGGGACTTGAACCGTGGTTGGCCATGTGGGGGTCCAGCACCTTTAACCACCATGCCACCTGCAGGACCCCTGTGTCGGTTTTATTCTTTATCAAGCTCTGTCTCTGTAGTGGCAGGAGGGTGATCGCAGCTCCTGTCTGCTAAGTAACCAGAGTGGAAAGAAGACTATCTCTTCCCCAGCAGTTCTAACTAAAGTGCCGGGATAAAGCTTGTTGACCTGGCTTAGGTCACTTATCTAGCCTTGAACCAAATCTTTTTTTAAAAGAATTATGTATTGGGAACCAACAGTTAGCATAATGGCTATGTCGCTGGACTCCCATGTAGTCGACCGCGGTTCTCATCCTGGACCCGGTGGCTTAAAACTCATGCCAGGCGCGTGTGCGTGTGTGCCCAAGATCCTGAGAGGAGAATGGAGGAGAAGGGATTGCGGCGTGACCATCCCCCCTGGGGGGTGATTTCTCGCTTTCTGTCTCTCTGTCTCTCTCTGTCTGTCTGGTGAGCGCACGCGCCCTATAGCGAAAACCTCTCCAAGAAAATAAAAAGAATTATGTATTTATTTAATTCCACTTGTTATTATAATTATTATTTTGAACTGAGCCAGACAGAGACAGAGAGAGAGAGAAAGGGAAAGCGAGAAAGCAAGTCACCAGCCAGGTTTGGGACTTGAACTGTAGTTGCCCGTGTGGGAATCGAGCACCTTTAACCACCACACCACCTTCCAACCCCTTGAACCAATCTTTGTGAAGGGAGACGGAAGGCTCTAATTGGTCATACCTGGGTCTAATGACCCGAACCATAAGAGCTGGGAATAGGACAGGAGTGGTTCCTTAAAGGAAAATTGAGAAGTGGATGAAGAGTAGATTAACTGGGGTTCTGGCAGTGAACAAGACATTATGGTTTCTGTTTTCCTGGAGCTTGTAGTCAAGCTTTAGAGCCAAAAGTTGAAAAACTCATGTCAAGAATGAAGGAAGGACAGTAGGGATGAAAGAAAGAAAAGCTGCCAGGGAGAATATAAGGTTGTGGGGTGATGGGACCTCTCACCTAGTCTTGGAGAGGGCTTTTGAGGAAATAGTATTTGGGCCTACCCCCGAGGCAAAGGCAGAGTCAAAGCAAGTGCAAGCAACCAGCAACATTACATTATCTGGAGCTCCTTAGAAGTGCATAATCCTGGGGCCAGCAGATGGCGTAATGGCTATGTCACTGGACTCCCATGTAGCTAACCGTGGTTCGAGTCCCAGACCCGGTGGCTTAAACTCACACCGGGCATGTGTGTGTGCATGCGCAAGATCCCGAGAGGAGAATGGAGGAGAAAGGATTGCAGCATGGCCATCCACCCTGGGGGGTGATATCTTGCTTTCTGTCTTTCTGTCTCTCTCTGTCTTTCTAGTGAGTGCACGTGCCCTATAGCAAAAACCTCCCCCCCCCAAAAAAAAAAAAAAAAAAAAAGAAACCAAAAAAAAAAAAAAAAACCAAAAAGAAGTGCAGAATCTCTGGCCCCAGCCTGGACCACCACTGAATTAAAATTAACCTTTTTTTTTTTTTTGCTGTAGGATGTGTGTATGCTTGTTGGGGAGAGAGAGAAGTGAGAAAGCATCTCCCAGGAGGGATGGCCATGAACAATCCCTTCTCCTCTGGTTCCCTCTCAGGATTTTGAGCATGCACACACATGTGCCTGGTGTGTTTTTCAGGCTTCTGGATCCGGGATTCAAACTGTGAAATCCACTACATAGAATCCAGCTGCCTTAACTACATGCCATCAGCTGGTCCCAGAATCAGCATTTTACCAACATTTCCAAGTGTTTTGGGTGCACATGACATCTGGGTGCCACTGCTGTGAGCTCTAGTAAATTCCCTGAGGCAGGGGAGAGAGAGAGAGATGCACAGAGGAGCTGGAAGACCAGAGTGGCTGGAGCACCCAGTTAGGGTTGGAGAGGCCGAGCATGCAGGCAGGGGCCAGATTAAGCAAGTGCTTGGAAGTTTTGCTAAAGATTTTAGAATTCATCCTAGTCCAGGGCACTGAAGTCCTTGAAGCATTTAGGCAGAGGACTAAGATGAGACTTTTGAAAACTCACTCTGACTGCATGGGAGGCAGCGCAGTAGATGGAGTTGTCCTCCTGTTTGAACTCAGCTCAGGAACTTCCCAGCCTGGGCTTTTTTACTACCCAGACCACAAGGGCAGGGTCAGAACTGGGAACTCGGGAGGGTGAGGGGGCTCGTCTTGGGGACTCTGCCTGGGTTGGGACCCTTCCGTGGTTGGTGTTGGGATCATGATATATGGGGTACTTGGACTGAGTGGTCTCTTTGTGATTGTTGTTTGGGTTTATTCTGTGGCTCCAATGGTCTGTGGCTGCGGTTAGGAGTCCATGGCTGGGATAGTTTTTTCTCCTTTGTGCAGAGGTAACTGCCCATAAGAGATTTAAAACCACAATCCTCACCTCACACCAGCCTGCTCACCACAGAGGGAGTGTCCCATTTGTCAAGGCACTTATCCAATGAGATTGCAGCTCTTTGATGCTGGTTGCCTGGCTTCCCCTACACTGAGTTCCTTGAGCACAGCAACTATGTCCTGCTCTTTAAGTCCACGGGTCCTGGCTGGGGGTGGGTGTCTGGGACATGTTTATGATCACTGACTGTATGTGACGCCCAGCTCAGAGCAACCTGCCCTGGTCCTGATCCTCAGCTCCTCTGGTTTGGCTTGAATCTTATATCTCAATAGACTCTATCTCCAGGTAGTTCTAAATGAGGCCTCTAAGTATGTGCTTGTCAAGATGAGGGCCAAAGATCCTTCTTTCTCTGTCGGTTTCATGCAGGGTTACCTCTACAGATCTGGGCTCCCACCTGCAAAGTCCCATCTCCAAGGGTGGAATCGGGCCTCTGCTTTGGTGACACCCTCTATCTCCCTGGGTTATTAATTGCACATTGAGATCTGAGATGCCCAGAGGTGGAGGCTGGACCCTCTCTAAGGGTCTGTGGCCTTGGGGGTTCATGAATCTGTTCTCTGCCCTTGGAGACCTGGGCAGGGGGAGAGGACCTCACTTGACTCCCTGGCATTGCAGTCTCAGGTAGGGTGGCTGGGGTACCCGTTTGGTTGATTAGCTTGGGAGTCATAGAATGTCAGGGACAGACAATCCATTACCTTTGCGGACCAGGCAGGGAACAACTCGCCCAAGTCCATTGGAGCTAGCTATGTTCCTCCTGTAGTCAGCAGAAAAGTTAAATTCTAAGACCCAAACCATTTTTGGTAAAGTGCTCTTCTTCACACCCACCTCCCAGGGACAGGCCCTCTAGTGACTTCTCTCTGGAACTGGATCTCTGGAGCAGTAGTTGGCTCTTAACTTGCAACG